CAACACTCTGGCCAAACTAGTCATGGCAACAGCTTCCAGTTCACAGCTAGCTGGCAATAATCACTTTGTAGAAGCCTGAAAGGCTGGGAGTGTGTTTGTGGGCATTTGTTTCCAAGACGCAAAGTGTGTATGTGTGTATGTGTGCAAATTTAATGCAAAGTGATACGTTTAGAGCTCTCTGATGAATTGGTCAGACTGCGCTCCGCGACTATTCATTATGTGGTGGTATGGTAGAGATATTATACAGTCTGGACTCCCTCTAATGTCCAGAGATTATTGGACTCCTGCCACACATTAAAAGGACTCTGACTCGTTCTCCTCTCCCACATTCTTTTTCATGCTCCATCGCATTACACTATTCTTTCTCTCTCTCTCTAGTATCCAAACAAATCAAATAAAACATGAACTCACCTTAAATTATTACTGGGCACTGTGCACTCTGTTCCATGGTGTGATTGATTTTTAATCATCAGAGCAATGTTTAGTTGCAATTGTTGGTTGCAACGAGACTATTAGTATGCAAATGTGATGGCAGACCAAATGGCAAATGCAGCTTATTGGAGTTTGCAGTTTGATCAGCTGATCCAACAGTGGTAAACCAGTATGTGTTCTGATGATCGCTTTCTTTTAATGGATTCTGCAGCATTGTGGGTGTACTGTGACTTTAGTCCAACCATAAACTTGGAAAACTTCTCATTAATAACTGTGCAGGCCAGTTAGACAGAGAGAGGGATGAAGGCTGTGAGGAAATGTGGAGGAAGATTGATTGCAAGCAAGGTGGCACAGGCGAGGTGATTAAAAACCCAGGCTACAGATGTTTCTGGAACACTTCAAAGTAGTTCGCCTGCCGTTGCCAGGGCTGGGCATGATGCATTATTGAGACGGTGCCCACCTGGCGCTGACATCACATGCCCTGTCCACCTGCCACCCCGCAGTCACGTGGGTGACACTTTGGGTCACGCCTCCTTCCTGCAGAAACTTCAGTGTGTTGAAGGGCATCAGGGGAAACAGCACACATGCTCCACGCAGACCTCAAAGGCACCAAAGTGGGGCATGTGTGCTCTGTAAACTCAGCTTCATGAATGAAAAGTGAGGAGACAGGAAATGTTCCCGTTCCACACTGCAAAAGATTGCAGTGTGTTTCCTGTTTTACTTTGTCTGTGTCACGAACGAGATGCCAAGTATAAATATCTCTTCTTCCACCTACAGAACTTATGACTTGAATAGAATTTGAACTCATCCGTCTGGTAAATGTTGACATTTACAACGCAGCATAGTGTTGCACAGAGTAGGACTGAATATATTTTTATTTAAGAAGGTAACATTATTATAGAATAAAATATTTTACTTCACATTTTTTTAAATTCATTATTTCATCTTCTTCAAGACAATTTTCAACTGTCTGAGGAGAGGGTACATCCTGGACAGTTTTCTAGTCCACCGCATGTTAAGACCAGCAACAATGAACTCTCTGATAAAATATGATGTTACTTAGTGTTAGTTTATAATACATTCAACAGTTGATTTGTGAAAAGAGTTCATCCACATAACCATAGGACAATAACGTGTATCATATATCATTGAATTATTACACATACATTGTAACTATATAGTAATATTGAGTACCATTTCTATTGCTATTTCATTGAAATTTAAACAACACCGCCATGATGCAGCCAGAGCTTGTTGCCCTGAGACCAGAGGCTCCTAGTTGTGTCAATGTCTCCTACTTTGCAGTGATAATCGGAGATGGGAGGACATTTTTATTTTTTTATGTCCAGACTACTTTGTAATCTTGTTTTGATTGAGGCTGAAAATCCTTCTTCACAGAGACGGGATGTTGGAAATGGAAGCAGGGATTTCAGTTCTTCAGTGGCCTTTCGCATGTTTAAAGAAGCACTCTAGCACCATTTTTTAAACCATTTTCTAGGTTAAAAATAGACTAATATAAGCATGAAAAAAGTGCTGAAAGAGAAGTGGAGTGTGGTAACCTCTTTTCAAAGTAAAATGACCCCAGACTGAAAACAATGAAAAATTAATTCCAAATGGCCCATGACCTGGTGGTTGGGGACCCCTGCTTTAACGTGTTGCGTGATGTGACTTCAGTGTTGTGTTTCAATGTCAAAACGTGTTGATGTTTGTAGGTGTGCATAAAGCAGTGAGTGTGTTCCTCCTGCTGGTGTCCCCTGACACCTGTATTCTCTCAGGGTGTGAAGGGAACAGACGGAGGCCAGAGCCACAGTCACAGGTCTCAGACCACTGAGGTGTGAAATGAATCAGAGGACCAACATACTCTCGGTCTCTCTGCTACACACACACACACTCACCGGGGTGTGTGTGTGTATGAGCACCATAGTCCTGACAGTGAGGAAAAATAAATGAGTGGCCAAAGACAAGAATCTAAAACACTGAGGAGCCGGACTGCAGCCATTTCAGTAAATACACTGCATATAAATATTTATGAAGGCTGTAACATTTAAGGTAAAAGATGATGTTGTCTTGTTATGTTGGTTAGGGTTCAATAACTCACTTTAATTAAGTCACACTTTTCCCAAAGGCTGGATTATAAAATGGAGAAAGAAGGCAACTGTCCCAGCACCACAGACCAGTCCTCCGGGTCCACTGCTGCTGGTTAAAGTGGACATCAAAGCTGCGCTGTTTCAACGCTTTAGGCTCTGTATTGTATTAAATTAAATTAAATATTTGAAGCACTTTCAGTTCTTTCTAATCCACACAACATGAAGTCGTTTGACTCTTTATGTCTAGTAGTATTAGAAATGAATAGTTATCACATATAAATGTCTAATTTATATTTAAACCAACAAAAATGTTTTTAAAATAATAAAAACAATGATAATAATAATAATAATAATAGTAATAATCACAACAATAATAATAATTAGTTTAATGAATTGTTTTTGTACAGATGTCTTATATATTTTGAAGAATACTGCATTAGTTGGACACTGGTGGGTTGTGTTCACACTTTATTTGGTAAGAAGTGAGCAGCCTGCTGGGTATGACATATTTTTAGCCCAACCAAATGTGATTCCTCCGATTGTTGAGATGTGTGTTGCCCACGGATTACACAACCGTTTTACAAATGATTGTATTTTTCCTCCGTGTTTAAATAATATTGTCTTTGATGTTGTACAGGTCTCAGTTTTGGCTTTTGATAATAGACAAGATTCAAACTTACAACTCATTTTTGGAAAAGGGAGCTGTTATTTCACCCATATGTTTCTTGATTTTGTTTTAACACAATTACTGTATTACAGGGAAATAAGGCCATGTTAACAAATAAATACACATATGCGGCTAACACTCTGTTGTCGTTGCAGAGATCAGGTGAGTGTGTTGAGTGGGCAGGGTGAGTTTGGATATGGTCAATACAAAACATTGTATAATAATAAACATTTGCTAATAAAGAAGCACTTTCTTTTTGAAAGTGAGTTCCTCAGTTTTTTACATACCTACCCCACCCCTCTGCTGCTCACCTCAATAAATATACACATACAATACAATGGGATTACTTTGACCAGACCTGAAGTTAAAGCCCCCAAAAATGCATGCTGGGTGTTGAGATATTTTAAGGGGAAACTCTTTTTTGCAGTGTGTATAAATAACGTGTATCAAGTGTGTATTAGGGCAACGATAAGTGGATGGACAGTGACATTATTGGATTAAAAAGGTGTTAAAACACACAAAGGTTGGGACAAAGCAAGTTAACCATGAGCTCACTTCCCCTTTTTGCTTCTTATCATTTAGCTATTATTACATTTACATTTTAGTGGAGCCTTGTATGGACTGCAGGCAGACAAGTCAAGCACATGCACACGTCTATACAGCCATGCTTTGGTAACAGGTGCACAATATGGCCTAACAACGTTCTGCAGGGAATCCGTACATTTACAGGGGGAACACATTGTCTTGACAGAAACATATTCCCCTCTGTACTGTAAATTTTCAACATAAGCCTCTGTATCAATGGTATCATATGCAGAGCGTCCATGCCTTGGCTGCTGATACGCCCACGTGCCATCACAGGTACAGTTTTTTTGTGGTGCTCATGAATACCCGGCTTGACAGGTTTTTTTTTCACTGTTGGCACCTGCAGTAGAATCTGACATGCTGCTCCCCCCAAACAAACAAGCTGTGACATTGTCTTATCTGAAAACAGACTACTTTTTCATTGTCTTTTTCCGTAACACAGCATACTGTAGTCTTGTCCCCACAAAACATGAAGTCTCAGGAAGCATTTTCATGCAGAAGCAGACTCTTTCAAGTGACAATGATGAGCTAGAATAGTCGCTCCTGTCGTCCCTGTACCGATGTCCATCGCAGTAGCACGACAGTTTCTAACGCAATATCTGCTCGTGGGTCACGCAGATTTAACAGCAGTTTTTCCCCTTGGCGTTTAAAAACTGTTTCTCCTCCTGAGATGACAATAGATAAGAGTTTTTTTTAAAGCACGAAGAAGTAACTTACAGGCCTAGTCTGCGATTTGGCCGATGCACTTTTTCTAACCAAACAAAACCAAAAATTTGAATCACTTGGTACATTTCTGGTGTTACAGTTACAGTAAAACCTTTACCAACTTTGCCTGTCCAACAAGTATATTTGGAAAAACAACAGAATTTAAGTTTGTCAGTGAAATCTCTTTTTTTTTGTCATTCTCTTTTCATTGAAGGGAAACATAGATTATTCACCACAGTTTTTGTAATATTTTATTGAACTTCAAATGTTTTTCCCTAATAAAACTAGTCATAAACTTTGTCAAAATGTGATGCATAACATAGTGTGGTGGCTATGGGATACTAAAAATATTGCACCAAAACATAAAATATAGAAAAAACATCCATTAGAACATTTTAACAATTAAGACATTGCATGAGACATATTGAAATATTGGACATGCAAAGTTTAAAATTTTGGGAATGTTATAAATATATAAATATAAATATAAAAAAAATATATAAAGGAATAAAAATTTATGTTAAGCAGGTGGAACTATTTATTTTAACCAAAATAAGTTGTTTTTAAACGTATTTTGTATTTCTAAATTCAATATCAGACTCTTAAAAGTGAAAACGGTTTCAAATCTTCTGTAGAGTTGAACAGGGTGGGAAACCTGCTGCTTTTCGCCTCTCTGGTTGGCTGGAGGCTCTGTCAATCACCAGGCCCTGACGACTCAACAGCACCGCCCACAGACGCACAGCGGCAGCGCAGCACTCAACGACCATGATATTCCAGGCACTTGCGGCTCGTCTGCAGCGACAGGAGAAAAGAGGAGAGAAAGGAGAGAAGCTCACCTCCTCAGGCAGCGAGTGAGGTCGGGAAAAGGAGACCCAGAGTAAGGAGGCGACGGAAAGAAGAGGAAGAAGAGAGAGAAAGACGAAGGACAGCGGCGGCTAAGACCTCCAGCTAGGAGTGTTTAATTGTCTGCGCTTTTATTCTCAAAGTGTTCAAACCCACACACAGATTCGACATGTCATCGTCCGGCAAAGACAACAGCGGTGCCCAACACGCCAATTACGTGGGACCTTACCGTTTGGAGAAGACGCTGGGCAAAGGACAGACGGGTGAGTTTTGTCTTTACACTACCACATTCCCATTTTAATTGCACTATTTATTTATTTCCGTGCGCTCCGCAGTCACTTGAAATCTGGCCGGTGGCTTACTGTGTGTCTGCAGATAAATAATAAAACAAAAAACTAAGCGTTTAGTCACAAACACCTGCACAGACCTGCTGGAGGTATATGTGTGTTCGCTGACAGTCAGTTGAGATAATCACTGCTTTCACTGTGGGATGATGGGAAGAGGATTTAGGTGATGCTGCTTTACATAGGTTTGTAGCCGTGCGTCGGCGTGGGATTGTGTGTGTTTGTGTGTGTGTGTGTGATACCAGGAGCAAAGCAGCATGGAAACTGTCCAGCAACAATCAGCGTGACAGTGTGGTGCTCGTCGAAGATGAACTTTTTGTGTCTTTGCAGCTCTGTTGGTCTGCATGTCCTCTGTGATCGGAGCACAGCAGCGTTAATCCTGATTTGCCTGATACATTGATCTATTCTTAGTCTGCAGGCAGGCAGAGAAGCAGGCGTCTCTCCAGGAGCCTCCTGATTGCAGCTCGTGGGTTTCCTCTGGTTTAGAGTAGCGGGTCGTACAGTGACAGATTACACATGAGCCCCACTGATCTATAATATTCACGGATCCCAGAGGATGTAACACCGCTGGGCTTCCAGAATAAGGAGCACACACTTCATCCCTGCACAGACAGCAGTGACACTGCAGTTAGTTAGAGTTGCACTTGTACCATTAATGGTTGGAGGTGTGTGTGTGTATGTGTGTAGCTCATCTAAATGGATGGGACCATGACATTTTCAATGTCACAATTATCTTTAGAAAGATGCAGTTGTAAAAAAATATACTTTAGTATATGTATGTGATTAGATTTGTTTATGCAGCATATGAGGTTTGAGGTTACTCTCAACAGTAATCGAAGCAATACATGACAGCCAACCGAGTTTTTCTTAGCCTTTTTAGCCATTGTCTGACCTGTTGCTTCCTTCGCTTCCGGTTCTTTTGATTATGATATGATTATGATTATGTTAGTGTGAAAAAGTAAGAGACATTAATTGGGAGTTATTATTAAAAGGATATAGCTCAAAATCCAAGATGTTAAATGATTCTGTGCTCTTTTAATGAAGTTGACAGTTGTTCAGAGCTATGAACCCATTAACTACTTGAGCCTTAATGAGATGTTGGAGTCTCTGACTTTATGTGAGCTGCCTAGACACAAGCATAGATCTACCCTACTGTATATAAGAGAGAGACATAAAATCCCATTCAAGCTAAGCTTCTAATAAAGGCCATCCCTGTCTGTCTCTACTTTTTGTAATGTGACGTTCAGAGATGCCTGTAACTGGAACTTCACTTCAGACAAGTTAGTGTTCATTTGTATTCATATATGTACACATTTCCCTCAGATGGTTTCAACAAATCTGAGTCTGAAGTGAGTGTTTTAATTATTGACTGAAACAAACACCGCCTCGATCAGTTGCGTTATCACGGTTGTGTTTGATGGGACTTCTCTTTTTTTGTTCTGTATAGCAATTTTCTTTTTTCAAAGTGCATTCTGGGAACAATGGTTTACCTCAATTGCTACATCTAATATTGTCTTGTGTCGATGATGCATACAGTGTATGATGGCAAGGTTTGTTTGTTTGTATTTTGTCCACTATGGGAAAAAATACTGGAATAATCCTCTGTGTTCAAGAGCATGCTGCCAGTTTAGTCATGTAAATAAAGGGTTGGCAAATCCCTGTGTAGGCAGAGAGGGAGATGCTTTTATGATCATCAGCTTTATCAAAGGAGAGAGAGAGAGACAGAGAGAGTGCACCTTTTTTTTTCATTATCCTGTTGAGAGCTTTTCCTTCCAGCTGCTGTCTAAAATGGCTACAATAGGTGTAGCTTCCCCCTACCTGGTACAGCTGGTCCTGCTGAGCAGCCGTGTGTGCATGTGTGTATAAATTCAAGCCAGTAAACGTTTGCGCGTTCTCTCACAGTGTACGCTTTTTGAAATAACTCCCTGGTTACTTCATTCACATGGCTGGTCCTCGGTGTTCACTGATGGAGCCTCACTCCTTTAGTCTCTCCTAAGATTTGAGTCTTTGCAGGTCTGCAAGTGGGGCATCCCTCTGACTGCAGGGTAGTGGGAAAAAAAAGAAATCTTCAGTCAAAGACGGTTTGCATTCATGGGGTGAATTTCATTCTTTGATGTTGTCTGTAAGTGGGTCACAATCAGTTAATAAATAAATGTAGCACAGACTTTCCTCTGAAACCCAAATGCATTCATCTATATTTGCGGGAAGACTCTTGTTTTAGAAGTAATACCAGCTTTCCTCCAATTGTGTGTAATGGCTGCTTGTGCTATAGTGCTGTCTGCCAGAGTGGTCTGCTGAGAACAGATGTTTAATGACGTGGTGTCACTGAGATCATGCATGGCTCAGGATGTATTCATGTGAGTGCAGTGGGAGATTTACATTCATGCCAGCCTAGGATGTCAGACCCAGTTTAGTGTTATTAAAATCATCTCCAGTATCTCTAGAGCTGATCACTTACTTGTGTCATCTCCCTATGCAACAGGCTCTGGTAAATAAACGGTCCCCTGTTCTTGTCATGAATTTTAACATTTTAAATGTGCACCAACAGCAGTGTTGTTACGAGTGCCTGAATGGTAAACGTTCAAAACACCCTTGGTTACTGGTGTCTGTGTGGCTGACTCACGCCAAACATATTCAGATTAATGACGATGCATAATGTCCTGTTTGTTCATTAACCATCCGTTTATCTGTCAGATCACCCTCGCAGGCCCCACGGAAAAAGGCTGGTCTGGCCAATGTGAGCGCCCAATGGTCTGGGCTCAGAAATGAGTGACAGCTGGTACCCTCCAGTGGACTAAATCCCATGTGAGATTCCCAGGCTGGCGTTGGCCAGTATTATTAGAGAGGGAGAAAGGCTTCTGGTTGGTCCGACTGTCCTGCAGAGAGACGTGGTGCTGTTTCATGTTCATTAAGTGATTAAGCTTTGTCCTGACATACACACACACACACTTACACCCACCCACACACACACACACACACTAGGGCACCGCATTGGTTCTGGTTTGGCTTGCTGATTTAATCCCCTACTCAGCCAAAGACCCCACGGCTGTCTCCCACACACTCACGTGGTCAGAAGGAACAGTTGGCCCGACCGCACTAGCATTGCAACTTTGCACTTTCTTGTTATTGTACAAATGAGCATGTGCGTTTTTCCTCACAATAACAGTTTAAACAGCAGGTGGTTATTCATTTCTTTACTAGCTGTTTTTTCTTTTTTAAATGTACACAAAATTAGTCTTTTGGTCTTTCATACACAACATGTCATTTCTCTGACCCTCTTGCCTTTTATTTTTTTGCCTCCTGTATGCTTTCTTTAGGCCGCTGGTACATTCCTAGCTCTGCTAAGTGTACATTATATCTTAATTGGCCTCACATTGTATGTGTGGGGAAATGGTCAGTGACTGATACAGCTGAATCTGGCCATTGACTCCAGCTAAAGTTGGCTGTTGTTGCGCCTGAGTGTCACAACCTAAAGGTGTGTGTTAATGAAATGGCTGGTCTTTTCCATTTTATGCTTGTGAATGTGTTAGCAATTTTCACAAATGACAATAACTACTGGCAATAAGCACCTTCCCTTTAACATTAACCGACGCTTGTGCTGCCTGCTTTGATGATGCACTAAATCATTGCACATGGTGCTGCAGTAATTGAGGTAACCTTTAGTAAAAATTTGAAAGGCCACAGCGGAGTTTAGTTTTAAGGTTTTCCTGGTTTTGCTGTTACAGTATTTAGTTGAAAGATCTGTGTTTCAATCATGTGCAATGACTTAGGAGAGTAGAACTGTTTCACTAATACGCTGTAACCTCTGCACCTCTTGGCTTCCCCTGGTCCTCTGTTTATTATTGATATTGCAGCCTCTTGTCTGCAAAGCAGTGCCTGTTAATCCAGTGTAAATCTGTTGAGGTGGAATTCTGAAGTCTTATCGCCTTATTGACAAACTAACAGTTGGAGGTTGATGTGTAGACTCCTGCATGGTTTGATTGTTGTTTGGAAAGAAATCCTGTGTGTTGGACGGGCTTTTATATTGACTCTATATCTGAGGAAAGCTGCCTATGATTTTATGTCTTAGCTTCCTCTTTTTAGCTCTTCCTGTTTCCGTCTAGTGAGCTCTTGTTCTGGGATTCCTAGCCTTACGAGGCATTTATGTCAGAATCCAGCTGTTCTGTTTGGTGTTTGCAATGATTCAGTCTGCCTTTGTATCTCATTTGTAATGTTTCTGCTGCATTGTGGGATTTCTGTGTGTTTCTATGTGCTTTCACTTTCTTATAATTTACAGATGACTAGATTGAGTTGACCACGCTGGGTCCTCTTACACTGGATGTTAAGGTGAAACGATTAATTTAATGGTGATTGATGGCTGGTCAGCTGGAGAGGAATGATTCTGATCAATGGGCCCTCCCAAAGATTTCCTGTCTGGTAGAGGAGATCCATAATGTTTCACAGCACATGATATTCCTGATGATGACAGGAAAGGAGGGGTTGCTCGGTAGATTCTGTCAATGAAAAACCACTTTGCTAATGCTTGTGTGTTTGTCTAGTGTGTGAATGGAACAGATTCTTTAAACTCTTGTGCGCCCTGGGTCCTAAAAATAGGCCTGAATCCAGCAATCAGCTGAAACACAGGTGTGTGGGTCCCAAGTTATAACTTTGCTGTGTCATCCCCAGGTGTGACGAACCCAGTGTTGGCTGGATCAGAGCAGCTGAGTCAGAAGCCAAGCCAAAGCACTTGTTCCCCAGCTCTCAAAGTGAACCATATACTGAAAGGCTTGTTGTAACACTGTGCCAGCTGACAAAAAACAAAAACAAAAAAACATTTGTTTTTTTTTAGTACAAAAATTACATAGAATGCATTAAATGTTTCAACTTTAGTCGATGTCGATATTTGCACCACTAAAGAAGAACAAAATGTTTTACCACCC